TTGCAAAATAATAAAAGACTTTTCAACTTAGTTTAGTCCATTCTACATTGACAATGAGAAAAAGAATTTTGACAAGCCACTAGTATCTTTAAGTAATAGGTAAATATGTGACAACAAAATTGTTGTTATTGCTACTAGTCTGCTATATCAACTAATTATTAATAATAGAAGAAAACTATATAAAACCTAACCTATCTTTTGGATAGATTTTAGGATCGTTTCATAGAAATCATAAGATTTGTTCGCTTCGAAAGCTCCAACATGCTCCTACCATAGTTCCTATTCATTCTATCAAGCGTGTTGGAGTGAGTAAGAGCATATTGAAACGTATTAGACATGCGACGCGAACAAATCTATAAATAATCGTGGGGTCTTAAGTCGAGGGAAACTGAATCGACAGTCACAGGCAAATATAAGGAGAATACTTGACTAGAATTGGTCAATTTCTTACGATTTGAGATCCTACGACCATCTATGACTTTTATGTACGTATATATGAGTCTTTTATTTGCTAGCGATACTATTAATTATGTGTTACATAACGAATGAGAAATAATTAATTTGCAATAGTAATCGAACGTTTTCTTAACAAATATCATTTGTTTTCCCTTGATTTGTTCCTATAATAAAATCATTTCTTTCAGTGTACCCGCTCATGAGAAGTGATCTCGTAAGTCGGGAACTTCCTGTATATTCGAGTTAAATTTTCATTATCGAGACTTCTTTTATGTATTAAAACAAACAAATAAAATGTAGCATTTTACTGTTTATATCTTTTTCTTTTCTTATTTTCTCTATTTTTTCCTACTTCTCTATTTTTCTTTTTTTCCTTTTTTTTAAATATCTAAAAAGTATTATACCTAAATTTTTCTTATATCTGTACTTAGATGATTATTAAAAAAATGTATCGGTACTTATATCTAAATATATTTTCTATATAATATCTACCAGGTGTATAAGCTTAAATCCACTGTTTTTTAGTCAGAAAAACATTTTTTTTTCCTAGGAAGCAAAAACAAATTTATTCAAAGTACTTACCCTCGCTAACTACACATTTTTTTCCATCTTTCGGGCAATTTGTGTATACCACGCCAAAAAAATTCCTCATTTTCGAGATAAACTACTCATCAAGCCATTTTCGGACATCTTCGTAAGAATCGAAGTGCCGCTCAGCGAGCGCGTGGCCGACGAAAACAGGTGATAGTTAGAAGGTGCCAGGTCTGGTGAGTAAGCGGGATGGGGGTAGCACTTCCCAGTTGAGTGTCTCCAAGTAGTTTTGGACCATTGTTGACGTGTGCGATGGTGCGTTGTCGTGGAGGAAAATCAGCTTATCATGACTTTTCCGATAATGCGGCCTTTTTTCACGCAGAGCACAGCAATTTGATCAGTTGTTGATGGTAGCGGTGAGCATTAACAGTTTCACCAGGTTTTAACAGCTCGTAGTAGATGACATCTTCCTGATCCTACCAAACGCACAGCATCGTCTTCCGTCCGAAGCAATTTGATCTTGAGGAAGATGTTGATGGTTGGGCGAGATCAACCCAAGATTTCTTGCGTTTAGGATTCTGAAAATAGATCCACTTTTTATCGCCTGTCACAATCCGATACAGGAACGACTTTCTTTTTTGTCTGACAAGCAGAATTTAGCATGTGTTTTGGCGTCGCTCCATATCTATCGTTCAGTTCATGCGGTACCCATTTTCCAATCTTTTGAACCTTCCCCATGGCATGTAGCCGCATGGAAATGGCTGCTTGAGAAATACCCAATTGTTCGGCAAGCATTTTTTGCGATTGGGTATCGTCCTTGTCCAAAAGAGCCTGCAATTGACAGTCCTCAACCTTCCTGGGTCGATTTTCACGCTTCTTGTCACTCAGATCAAAATTGTCGTCATTGAACCGGCGAAACCAATCTCTGCACGTTGTTTCTGATAAAGGATAAATTGTCGCCATAAGCCTGCACAAGCATTCGATGCAATTCGGCAGCCGATTTCTTCAAATTGAAACAGAAAAGCAAAGCTTCCCGCATATGCTTTTTTTTTAGCAAAAAACTAGACATGATTACGAAAGAAAAAATGTATGTTGTTGTATGAAATTACTGATGATGTGCACTGATTAATGTTGACAGATGTCAAACATATAAAAAAAAGTGTGTTGTGTGCCCAGGGTAGCTTTGTATGCTCACTAATGCCACCTGTGAGCAAATAGCGGATTTAAGCTTATACACCTGGTATACCTATATATAGATACCTTTAAACTAGTATCTGTTCCAACAAACACACACACAAGGTGAAATCAACAGAAAGAGACTAGAATTTATTTTGACATTATTCGTTTTTCTACAGTTCTGTAACTTCAGAAGTCAATATCTCTTCAACGAAGCATTTGCGAACATACTCCCAAAAGAAAATTTTGTTTATTTTGAGATCATAAATTCATATTTAAAATTTAGTCATTTAACCTGAAACACTATTTTATATATGTATGTATGTATACAAAATGTCTGGAAATAATCATCAAATATTTCACAGGCAGGTAGAGCGGACTAAACTGAATCGAAAAGTCCTCTACCATTTTGTAAATTTCCCCAATAGTTAATTGGATATTAATCCTTAAAGATAGCCGAATACGCGTACTCGCTCGGTCTTGGGAGTTGGGGATGGCTGGCAAGCGCCCCGCGTCGCGCATATCTCCGCAAGTCTCCATAGGTCAGACGGCGCTTGCCCATTCCCCAAGGCCCGCGCGCCAAGCGATCGGTAGGCGTATACACTT